AAAGAGTCGCCAACAAGTTTTAGGAACTTGTAAACCATTCACAGGGTGAAGGTTACATCCCTTAACGATCCAAGAGATCGTCAACTCCATAAGGTCTAGAACCAAATAAGGGTTCGGGGATAAAGGTACAAATCCAACCTAAAAGAGATTGAACCTGCCCTAATAATAGGCCTCTACTTTATTCTGATCGTATTCATGTGCGCTTTCTAATTAACATACAATCAATAGGATTAACCCTAAACCTGTTTATCTATGTTGGTTGAATTCAATGCACAAATAAACTATTATTGGCGATCACTTGAAATTATAATCAAATTAGCCCTAAACAAGATTATTAAATATCTTATATAAGCGTGATTACAAATATCAATTCCCTTTAAACATGCATAAAAGGTGTGATCAAGCAATAACAATAAATATCATCAAGCAACATAATGATAATCATAACAATAATAATCATGACAATAATAATTATCATCAAGATAATAATAATAACATTCATAATCATCATAAATTATAACAATTATAATCATAATCATGTTCATGTTAATATTAAAGTATAATAATAGAAGATCCTAGGCATGATACTAACAAGATTAATAACAAACCCTAGCATGTCACTAAGCAATAAAAATCAAATCTTTAACCCTAACATGATACTAACAATCATAAATATTAGGAAGAACATAGGAAGCATCGTAACAATCATATTTAATATTAAAGTTACCCTAGACATGTTACTAGGAATACCATAATAACAATTTAAACATGATTTCTACATCATAACATCAATTAAAATCATTAAAGTACTTACTTTGATGCCTCGTACCTATTTCTAATAACAAAATACACACGTTAGTAACTTCAAGGAAAATAATAAAACAAAACAATTAAATTAAATAATTGAAAGAGAGATTTGGGACCAAACCCTCAGAAATTAAACCTTTCGCGTCTAGGGCGAAGGCAACTTCGAACTTGGCTAGGTGTTTCTAGATCTTGCGAATGCGGAATTTTGTATGTGAAAAGCAAGTTTAAAGAGAAAGAGAAATATGAATTGATTACGGAAATCTTAAGGAGAATTAGCGAATGATTAAAGAGAATTGAAAACTGATTGTAGGTGAATATAATTGAAAAGCTCGATTGTTGATGCATGAAAACGGAGTTTTTACGACGTTATTTATAGAGAAAATCAGCCAAAAAGATAAATTAACAGAACAGAGTCCTTGCGCAACTGAAACAGAGCTGGCGCCAGGCTAACTGGCGCCAGGCCTAGCTCCAGGCGCCAGGCCAGTTTTTGACGCGTTTTCAAAAATCAGATAAGTATGCCGTACTGGAGGATAAAATCGTATATTTTCCTCAAAAATGTTTTTTTTATTTTAATTAAAACTCTGAAAAGTCAACAAAAGTCAATTTATCAATGCTAATTGAATTAGGAATGAAAAGAACCTTCTAGAAGAATCTAGAAGACTAAAATCATTCCTAATTGCATTAGGAATGATAAATCATATTAGGTCCTCCCCTAGATCATTGGGCCGCATATAAGGCTCAAAACGGGCCTAGTTTGGTAAATTGGCCATAACTTCCTCAATATTCATCGGAATTGGGCTTATAATATATCATTGGAAAGTTCTTGTCAAGCCCCATACAACTACACTACTATTGGACCCATATCATGGACCAACCAAACTATATTGGATGTTTTCTTAAAATAAGTTTTCAAAAACAGAGAGAAAAGAAAAGAAATTAAAACTATCCGCAACACTAGACTTTCCACACTTTCGCTTCATTCGATTATGATTCGACGTGAAAGGTACTCATCACTGGGTTTGGTTTTGGGGAGACACAAATGGGTGTCTACAATACGGCAATTCATATTCGGTGGCTGCAACAATAAGATAGCAGATATAATCACTAAAATTAGTTCACCTTCTAAAGTTCGAAGATAAAAATGAAAAACAAGACACTAACTTAAAATATAACCTCCCATACACTTCAACTTGCTGCTTAATAACCTCACCCTTTATCTTCACTTGATCACCAACACTAATAGAATCATCCTTGACAATATCAACATCATCAATTTGAAATGGTTCGTTTTAAATTTAAATTGGGTTCAAATAAACTAATCAAATCAATACACTATCTATCAATAGCCATACAATAAACAATTTAGTTTAGAGAACTTTAACTTGAGGACTTGCTGAATCAGTCCTAACCTGTACAAAAAATAATTACACAAATCCACTATGCACTAACCAATTGACTACACTGAACACATTTTCAATTGGAATTGAAGACCAAACTATTCTAATTTACCATTCCTGGAATCCCATGACGTGTTTTTTAGAATTTTCGCATTATCTCCAATTGAGAACCTAGAATCATTCCAAAATCAATACGCTACATCATTTATTATGACCAGATTATTCAGCTTAGCCTTTCAGCACTTCATCAATTGAGCAATTTAGCAATTCAGAAATCAAGCAATTAAAAAATAGAGCATTTTAGAAATTGAGCAAACTAACGGAGCAATTCAGCTTTTGAGCATTTCACCAATTTAGTAAGGCCATAGATGTTTTAGTATTTGGGACAGGTCGTGTTAGTTGGTCTTACTATCTTCATGTTTTTGTTAAATAAGTGAAACAACATAAGTTTAATATAGTGACATGTGGTGTTAGTATTTAGGATGGGTCAGTATTCTTAGGATTTAATTTAGGAAGGTCATAGATCAACGAGTTTCTAGGAAGGGATGCAGCATAGGATAAAATAGGGGATGTGATCAGATAGGGGCATTGATTGGAATAGGCCCTAGTGGTGAAGATGATGAGATTGTTAATACAGACAAGCCGGACAATATTTCCCTTACACCAATTGGGGAGACCTCTTCCCCAATTGGGCCAATTTAGACCATTCAGACCCTTGAAACTGTTTCAACAAATAAGGTCTCTGTATGACCTCTGTTAAACCTTCAAAAGTTGGAATGGTGTTAAATGGTGGGCAAGAAATAGAGGAATATTATAAATCATACGTAGAGCAATGTGGCTTTGGAGTTAGAAGGGTTCAAAGTGAATTTACGATTAAAAAAAGAGAAGGGGAATGACCTGGATGTGTGAATGTTGGGGTGCCCCAAATATGAGGGCAAAGCATGAGGCAAAGAAATCCTAGAATCATTATAAATCTAGTTCAACCTCCAAAAGTTGCATTTACAAACGAGTTTTTGAGAATTTTACACTACATCATAAACCAGTTATCATGATCAGCTTAGGAGGATTATTCAGCCTAGCATTTCAGCACTTCATCAGTTGAGCAACTCAACAATTTAGAAATCAAGCAATTCAATAATAGAGAATTTCAAAAATTGAGCAAACCAATGGAGCAATACAGCTATTGAGCATTTCAGAAATTGAGCATTTCAACAATTGAGCCATAGAAGAAATTGAGCTAGCCAACGGAGCAATTCAGCAATTGAATCAAGTTAAAACAACATGCAACTCATTGACATAAAGTTCATCTCAAACAACATCTACATACCTAATAGCCATAAATACATACCTTAAAAGCGACGAACTACTGACAACAACACAGCGAATATTTCAAGCTCAGCGAACAACTCAAGCACAAATCAAGCTCAATATTGCGAAATCTCAGTCAATTAACAACCGAATGTTAACAACATTACGATCTCAAAATTAGTGGAAGGAGGCCAAAATCATCCTACACCAAGAAGATTCAAGTATTGCCCTCGCCTTCTCGCTCCTAGGGTTCGATTTCTCAGCTGAATGGTTTTTGTGGTTTTCCACGTTAAAGTTGCTCCGTTAGTTTGTTAGTGTAAGTTAATGTTGCAATGACAACTTCACCCCCATACTTTATGCTATGCTGACGATTTTAGCCCTGAAATTAACATTTTATGTAAATCACCGAGAGCAACTTGTATTTACCGAAAAAAATACTACCTTCCCTCCTTTGAGGTTACTTTTATAGTTGTACTTTGCGCTTGCACCTCTCTATCTATCATTCCCTTTCTCTCTTCCATTGAAGCGGTTTATGAGCTTTCTCTTTACCATTGAAGCAACTTTTGAGGTACGATATCTTCGAGAAAGTATTGCCCACTACCAGGTAGGGACTAGGAAGGTCCATACCAACATTGAAAATAAAAATTTAGCTAAGTGTTGGAAAACAACATTTCCTATTTTAATACTATTATTTTAAGTTTGAGCCTATTAAAATAAAATTTAATACTGTTATATGTTTCTTCAATAATATTTTCTAGGTGTTATTTTGCTCTTTTCAGTAGTACTTATATATTAAAAGGCTAAGTATTTGTGTTAGTAATTAAGTATTATATTTGTATGCTGTTATCATATAAGTGAAATATGTTATTAAGGAAGACAATACAATTATTATAAATTAGAAACTGTTAAGCGGCGTGATTTGGTATCAGAGCCATACGGTTAAAAGATAAATTAAGTTGTTAATTTAAAGAATCTTTAGAAAAGCAGTGAATGATATTAACTTGCTGAGTCATGGTTTTCTGTAAGCGGTGAATGATATTCACTTGCTGAGTCATGGTTTTCTATAAGCCATAGAAAGTGTCGGTGACCTTTGTGAGCCTTCCCCTATGTAAATGGTATTAGGCAAAGAAGTGAAGGCAGAGTTGGAAGAGTTAGCTAGAGAATTGTTCTGAAAGCATTAAAGAGTCCTCTAGAGAAAAATACTCACCTTAAGAGACAGATTGGTTCTCCATCTCTCTTAAAGTAGAGAAAAACTCTAGTTCAGCTTATGTCTTTTTAAGCTTTCAATTTGTGTGTTTGTTGTAATATATGATTGTTGTAATCTTTTCAAATTAAATAAAAGTTTCGTTCAGGAAGGGAACGTTATCCCCTTGAACCTTATATATCAAACGAGTTATCTTTCTGCTTAAAAAGTTCTATCATAAACACAGTAAGGATTGTCTAATTAGAAATTACGGTCTAAGGTAGGAAACGAATTAGATTTGTGTTGAGCCTGATCTAAGGAAGACAGGGTTGGGGTTAGCTACCTTGGTAAAGCCGGAAGCTCAGAACGCCGGGGGTTCCATTGTCGACTAAGTTCAGGTATTGGTCAAAATTCTCTAGTTAAATAACTATTATTGCGAAGCATGGTGGGCTTTTAAACTGTTAAAATAATTTATTTTGATGTATAAGTAGTAGAGTTGTGATAACTAGTACCGTTAAAAGTCATTTAAGTAATTATCAAATCGAATTATAGTAAAAATCAGTGTATTATTAAAATCTGTTATTTTAAATTAAGGTACTGTTATTAATTTGTCCAATACTGTTATTAAGTCGTTAAGTACTTTTATTTACCCTAAATAAAATATATATAAAAAAAAAAAAAAACTGACGTCACTCGGTATTGGGCGGGTTAGCCTATATCGGATAGCGGTCCATCATTTCACCCCATACTTTATGCTATGTTGACGATTTTAGCCCTTAAATTAACATTTTCTGTAAATCATCGAGAGCAGCTTGTATTTATGGAAAAAAAATACTACCTTCCCTCCCTTTGAGGTTACTTTTACAGTTTTACGTTCCGCTTGCACCTCTCTATCTATCATTCCCTTTCTCTCTTCCATTGAAGCGGTTTCTGAGCTCTCTCTACCATTGAAGCAGCTTTTGAGGTAAGATATCTTCTACTTTTTGTTTTGTAAATCCTTGAGTATCAATTTTCCTAAAAAAGTTAATCGTTAATTTAATTCAGTACAATTTAGGGTTCTTCCTGAGTGGATTACTGAACTATTGGTTGTTTTTACTGAAGTTGTGCAACATATAACGAACTATTCTGTTGACAATTGAATCAATTTTTGTTGCTAATGTATTGCAGGAATTTGTATATAACTCCATAATGTTGGGATGGAAGTGTAACAGCGGACCTTTTCTCCCTGGTTCCAGGGTGGCTGCCCCTCCTGCCGTGGCTCAGGTACGGGCCGGTTTTCTGAGAAACAGTTTCGTTGTAAGAGCTGGGCCGAAGAGGATTGTTTTCGGTACGAAGTGTAGAGAAGCTCTACAAACCGGTATCGATAAGCTTGCTGATGCTGTTTCAGTGACTTTAGGACCCAGAGGTATACTTACATTACATTTCCTTTGTTCCGTGTCTTGTTATCGATAAGCTCATGAGAAGTGGAAACTGGTAGTTATTATTTTTGAGGGACCAATGTTACATTGTACAGCATTTGGCAGGTTGCCTCGTGCATTGTTAACCATGTCGTAATAGTTGACATTAGGATATGTAGAGGGCAATATGTTTGTTCACAAGTATTGAATACAATTCAGCTTGACAGACTAGACATTCTTATATCAAATACTAATATTGTTAGCTCAGCAAAAATGTGTTACCATGTTGTGTGGTTAACAAGTGTAACAGCCTTGGGAGAATTCATATCTTGTAGCATATTCAATTCTGGTAATCATATAGTCTCCAGCATCTAGTAATATAGGTAGATTAGGGGACACTTATCTAGGTATCTCCTATTGTGTACGAACATCTTATTGGTTGATGTAGAAGGCCATGAAGAACATATTGGTGTCATGAGCTCAGAGGCCAGTTAGACATGTGAATGGTGGAGGGAAAGAAGAAATTGATTAGTGGGTTAGGGGTTAGGGGTTAGGGCTAAGGGCTGGTGAGAAAAAGGAAATTGGTCAGATAGGCATTATGCTTTTCTTTGTTAATTATTGATTTTCAAACCATTCTTTGATTAGACTAGCTAGGCATATGAACTGGTATCATCATATGCCTCAATTAACGAATATGATTTCTTGTAATATGAATTGATCCTGCTTATATGTAGATTATTCCGAATATAGTTAAATTGATTTCTAATTAATGCTATTTTTCAGGGCGTAATGTGATTCTTTCGGATTCAAAAAGTTTGAAAGTAATTAATGATGGTGTTACAATTGCAAAGGCTATAGAACTTGCAGATTCAATTGAGAATGCAGGAGCAATGCTTATTCAAGAGGTGATAGATAGTTGTTTGTTTGATTCTTTACGCTTTGAAGTTATTTCTGTGCTGGTAATAGTATATGGCATGCATTTTAGTGTGCATACAGGTCGCATCTAAGGTGAATGATGCAGCTGGTGATGGTACAACAACAGCAATAATTTTAGCGCGAGGAATGATAAAATATGGCTTATTGGCTATTACATTTGGTGCTAACCCTAGTGGTTTGAGAAGAGGAATGGAAAAGACTGTTAAAGAACTAATCAAAATTTTGAAGAAGCGTAGTATACCTGTCAAGGGGAGAGATGATATACGAGGTGAATGTTTTCAAAGGTTTTATGTAAATATTTTCAATTTGAAAATGTTCTAATATTAACTTATATATGTTGCCTGCAGCTGTGGCTTCAATTTCTTCTGGAAATGATGACTTTGTTGGGAGTATTCTTGCTGAAGCCATTGACAAGATTGGGGCTGATGGTATTATCTCTATTGAGTCGTCCTCAACTTCTGAAACTTACATAATTGTTGAAGAAGGAATGAAGGTCTGTGCTGCTCCATTTTGTGTATTTCACTGCCCAAAATAAATAATTGTTCTGTGCACCAGTTTCATGCAAGGAGTGATAAGCTGATAGCTGGCTGTTTGTAGTAGACTCTTTTATCTCACTTTTTTGTGTGTGTTCATGGGTCACATGCATAGAAAATAAATCTTGGAGACGTGAATGTAGTAGCGATCGTGTTAACGGTCGTGTTGAGAGTTGGAGATTTGCTCCATTTCTTTCCCAGCTCTTGAAACCCTCCCCTTTGTGTGCTCTTCTCATCTCTCCCAAAATCCTTATCATATCAAGCTGCTTTTACACCTCCTTGATTGTTGGTTGACATTCAATTAGATCTTATGGCCATGTTATGTTGGCATAGAAATAATTTGAGTGTAACACAGCATGGACACAAATTTGTGTTTGATCCTTGTTATATCAAGATTACGAAACAAAAAAGTTGTGGGTGTTTATAAGAGAGAAAGAGAAACCCTATTGATCTTCGCTTACCTTCTCCCCAGTTTGCCACTCCTCTACCTTGGTCTCTTATTTATTTTGAACTTCATTTAGTGAGTAATGTTGTTAAAGCAACTTGAGCTGAGTGTGAATGATCTGATTTATGTCATAAACTTGGGGTACGTGTTGCAAAGCATGAATTATAAATTTCTTCCATGGCGTAATGTTGAATGCATAGAGGATTTAAACATTTTACTTGAATACGGGTGATATGATGAAAAGCATCCTCTTGGGTTGATGGTCAACCTGTATTGGTTATCTTTACATTGTCAATCTTTATAGGGTATCATGTTTCTCCTGCTTCGCATGTGTATCAAAGATATAAGAAAGCTTGGAGTGATGGAGCTTGATTTAGAAGTCATGTGGGGATTTCTTGGCGTTTCATCATAGAAGTATTTGGTTCGTTAGGACTGAGTGAGCTTGTTGATTCAAGGAGATTTCTTTTCTCCAAGTAGCTAAAGTTCAAAAGTAAATGTCTTAATGAATGAAGTGTACACATACTTGGTTTCTGCCTTAAGAAATTTAAGGGAATGTATGTTTACGAGAGAGGGTTTGATGTAGGAATGTTCACCTCAATTTTTAACATTGAACCAAATAAAGTTTCTTGCGTTCTTGGTTAAGAATTTGAGGCACTATTGGCTCAATTTGTGTTTCTTTTTCCCTTCTTTCTGCATGTTTTTGACACCTTTCTAAGATTTCTTGCTCAAATGAGTGTTGGCACAAAAAGGTTTGTGTTATAGACTGAATTCTACTGATTTAATTAAGCATAATTAATATTAATTTAAGGCTGAAAGCTTGAACATTTGATTGATTAAAGGTTGGATTACATAAGGATAGTCATAACTTGAGGTTATGAATCTCTCGTAGCTTTAGGCTTCAAATCTCTTTAGTAGCTTGAGGCTACAAGTCTCTCAAGATGTTCACTCAATTTTCTGGATATATTCTAACTACTAAGTTTACTACCCTATATATAATCAAGACATCTAAGACTAAAGATGGATACGTGTGACTCCTTAGCTAAAATGGAAAAACCATAATTAGACATTGTTAAGGCGTGTTGCTTGTTTTCCTTTTCTTTGCTTCTGCTGTCCCTTTTTCATTGGTTGCTGCTTTTAGACTGTTGACCCTCATTTGGTGATCCATCACAGTTTGATTGGTTATGGAGGTGATCTTGTATTCTTGGATCAATTGGGAGAAATTTGGAGCTCTAAATAAGGTTTGAGAGGCAACAAAGAACTTAGCAGTCAGCACTAATGTCTGTTAGCATTCCTGGGAAGGGTCTTTTTTTGTCTTAGTGAGAGCAAAATACAACATTAGAAATCAGCACCAATTTGATGGCCTCTGTGCTCCTAAGATGGGCAAGAGATCAGACTTTCAACCACTTAGCATGAACTCAACATTGGTACACGTGTTCTATGGAGTTACTTGTCACCTGATTTGCCAGAAAAGCTCTGAAATCAATCTTAGTCAAACATCTATCGATTAAGGGCTGTATCTAGTGGTAAATAGGGGTTTTTATGGTTTAAGAAATAAGAAGTGCCTGTGTACCTCTGTATATATGTGATGAAGTCAGTGGATTGATTGTTTTAAGGAGAATATAAATTTATTGTTTTCGTACTTTATTCTCATTAAATAAATAATTTTTTTTTTCTTTTTAATTGGAAGGGGGGAGCGTGGTGTGGTGTTAGATTATTTATTTTAGTTTTCGAATTGTGATTGGTTGATGTAGAAATCAAATCAAAGTTCATATCTTTAGATTTTAGCATTATCTTGATAATTCAAAGGTTAAATTCATCTCTCTATATCATGCCTACAAAACGACTCAGGAACCCAATAAAAATCGTTTACAAATTTTTGGAATTGTTAATCCAGACATTTAATTTACTGAACACCGAGAATTATTGCAACCAATATTGGTAGACTTTTGATCTCACGAGCCTTCATAAAGTACACTGTACCAAAGTTAAAAATCATGGTTCTTTTGTTATGTTCCCTTACATGTTATAGGCTATTTCTTGTTACTCCCTCTGTTTGTAGACCGGGCATGTATGTTGATGCAAAACTTTGACCAATTATATCTTTATTATCAATAAGTATACTTTATTACAATTGAATTTTAACAAATTATTAATTGAGAAGATTCCAACTAGACTTTTATTTAGGGAGTAATAAGAAAATCTTTAAGAAAAACTATGGAACTTGTGTATTGAGCGCAACCACTTTTCAAATAAACCGGCTTCTCAAATCTTGCCAACAGAAGGATTGTCGTCATTGCACCAAGGCTGAGAAATATCTTATCGTTTATAAATGTGAAAACTCTCTAAGTGCTGCTTTTCTTGGTAGCTATTTTTAATTGGGTTATTTCTGTTGAAGGATAGTATCTCTTGAGTCTTGATGTGTACATCTTTGAATTCTATTAACTTCAGTTAATGTGCTTTTTTAATGATCGATAGCTTTTTTTCACAGATTGACAAAGGATATATGTCACCTCATTTTATTACAAATCAGGACAAATCTACAGTAGAGTTTGATAATGCCAAAGTTCTGGTAACTGATCAAAAAATATCAACAGTGCAAGAAATTGTTCCCTTGTTAGAAAAGGCTGCTCAACTAAGTGTACCTTTACTGATCATTGCTGAGGATATATCAAATCAAGTATTGGAAACACTGATTGTAAATAAAAGCAAAGGACTTGTCAAAGCAGCTGTTGTCAAATGTCCTGGGTTTGGGGATGCTAAAAAAGCTTTGCTACAGGATATTGCTCTCATGACAGGTAAAAGTACATAAAACCTACTGTCTTAGTTGTAAATAGGGCTGGTCATGAACTTTACTGGGCTTGGCTTGTTTAAATCATACCAAATCCAATCTTGAACTAGACCTCACCTTGACCTTAATAATCATGTGTTTGGCTTGATGAAAATAACTCAGCTCAACATAGCATGTTCCAACAATAAGTACAAAAATTAAATTGCTAATTTTGTTACTTGGCTCTATTAGTATATATGGTTTGGGCAAGTCTTGAATAATAACCTCTTATAAATTCCATTTAATCTATAATGTAGGCATTGGGGTAAATGATGAATAGAAATGTCTTAGAATGTGATTCCTAAGTCCTAACTGTTTGCAAGCCATTCTATTCATGTCCACAAAACATGTCTTTGGGTTGAAACTAGGAGACATTTTTTGATTCTTAACGGTTCTGTGACTTCTGCCAGTTTCTCTTTTACATGACTACCTTTATTTTTGATTTATATTTCATTAATAAATTTGTGGCTCCAGTATGGAAATCCTGAGGTAGGGTACAATTCAATTCAACATCTGAGTTGGAGAATGGTGATGAGATGAGAGGAAAGGCATTTATATTTCTAATGCTGAATACTTTGGTGTAGTATTCTAGATGATTAATTGTATCCTCTATTGTTCTTAGCCTTAATTCCCACTCTATTGTATTTGACATGTATCAGGGCATAATAACACAAGCAGAATTGTACATAATACTGTTCTTGGAAGTTGGAACAGTATCTTCTTATCAATGCTTAATCTTATTTCTGAAGTTATATTTCTTGTCATGTTGGTTTCAGGTGGTGATTTTTTGTCAGGGGATCTGGGTCTGAGCATTAGTGATGCTACCTCTGACCAACTTGGTATAGCTCGAAAAGTGACTATAACAAATAACTCCACCACTATTGTTTCAGACCCTTCCACAAAAGCTGAAATTCGAGCAAGGGTTTCGCAGATTAAGAAGGATTTAGCTGAAACAGAGAGCTCTCATCTCTCTAGGAAGCTTGCAGAGAGAATCGCTAAGCTTTCTGGTGGTGTGGCAGTAATTAAGGTTGGTAAGTAGATGTTAGTGTGTATTCATTAGAATTGTGCTAACCAGTTGATACTTTATACTTGTGTAAGATAACAACTAAAAAAAAGGTAACAACTAAAAAGTAATGATACTACGCAACAATGGCATGTGAATCAACCTCCATTACCTGCTAGGAAACACTTCACGGGTTTGGTCTTAACTAAAGTGAAAATAAACAGTATAACATATTAAGGACTAACCATGATAAAAGAAGCTAAGAAAACAGAAACCAGTGTCCCTTTCCTAGGGGAGCATGTGCAGCAAGTTCAAAACAGTTACCAACTCTGAACCCACAGGCACATAAATAGTCAAAAAAAATTGCTCAACAATATTACAATGAAATATTGCAGACACAAGCTCATCAAGAAACTGGCAGCTGTTGTCTTTTCATTGTGCCTGCTGGCATATTAGAAAAATGACCCCTCACTATACAGAAGCACTACGTAGGAATAATCTTGTTAACTTATTGCAGTTTCTTCCTCCTCCACAAGAATTTGTTGTTCCTAGACACAATCTTGCACTTGTCTACTACTCTACTACAACCAAGTAAAATCAGTTTTTATTTTATTTTATTTTATTTTTTTCAGCATAAAGTGCATGTAACATTGTAACCCATCAGAGCATTGCACATTCCATTTTTTGAAATCTATTTGCTTTCGCTAATCAGTCCTGTAGTGCTAATCAATCAGAAACAAACACTACAGGCCTGCTAATTTGCTGCAAAATACTTCCTCCGCTCTTTTATTATTGCACCACTTGCCTTTTTAAGAAGTTTCACAAATATTGCACCATTTCCTCTTTAGGAAAAAAATTATTTGTGTTCACACTACAAATACCCAACATACCCTTGTTTTTTCACACATACTTTTTAGTTTATCAATATGTCACATGGACAATTTTGTATTTTTACCTTTCTCTCTCTTACTTTTTTCCACTACCAAAATATTTGCACCAAACTCTTATGGTGCAATAATAAAAAAACGGAGGAAGTATTCACTTCCACATCACTTTTCAGTAAAGCAAATCCCTGACTTTTTCTGTTTTGTCCCAAAGAGTCTGACCATGGCACATATCTATGATGTCCCTGCTTGTCAGAAAATCTTCTTTAAATTGAGGTTCCCAGAGTGGACTCACTCTAATAGTTCTGCACCCATCAAACCCATTGTTTCTGTGTTTAAAGTTAAAGCTCAAATTGGTTTTGTAACAGCTGTGTTTCCACTAATACAGATTCTTGACATTAAGCCACCAACTGACCTAGGAAGACACATCTCCCAAGCAACAAGAGTATTACTAGTAGCAGTTACTTCATAAAAAAAGTCAACAATTTGGCTCATTCAGCCTCTTTAAGAACCTTCATCAAAAGAATAAAGAGTTGGCATCAAAGATTTTGCATGCTATATGCAACACTCTTTTATCAACTGAAGTCTTCCAGCATAGAAAAGTAAGCTAGCAGGATAATGTTGAGCTTTGCTTTTGATCTTCTCCACAAGAGGCTTACATTGACTATAGGTAAGCTTTTTTGACAAGATGTGAATAACTAAGTACCCAAAAGGCAAGATTCCTAGTCATTTGCAAAACTCAAAGCAAGTCTTGTTTATCACTATCCTCAATGCTTTCCATGCTCACAATATATATCAAGATTGGACACTTAAGCTCATTTATTTAGTGGAAATTGTGAGGGACACAGGATGTATAAATTTTTTTTTTTTAAGAAAAAAAATTAGAAATTTTAAAAATGTAAGAGGAGCACTTGAGCAAAGTGGCAATTCTAATTGAGTGGTGTTTGTTTGGAAACTGTAACATCATTGCAATTTTTTTTCTCTCTCTTTTCATGGTTGAGATATTCTATGAAAAATCGAAAATAACGTTGTAATTTCCATATCATTTTTCTTAAGTGAATAAGTTTGAATTACAAAAGCAATATTTAGTATAATAATATTAGCCTTTCATCGAGGTTAATTATCCAATAAATATTCATTAGTTTTCTTATGTCAGAAGTTGGCATGTAACGTGTTCAGTCTGGACATTTCATTCCAATACTAGTGTAGTAGCATAGGGTACTTAAAATGGATGCAAGCCATATTATATCTATGTATCCTATTATCCTGAATGTACTATGAAGCTCTAATATTTAGTTGATACAATGAATTATTTTTTATGATCTAGTAATTTGTGTTAAATTCAGGTTGGAGCTTTCACTGAGACAGAACTTGAGGATCGTAAGCTTAGAATTGAGGATGCAAAAAATGCCACATTTGCTGCCATGGATGAAGGAATTGTTCCCGGTGGTGGTGCAACTTATATCCATCTTTCGGAAGAGATTGCCACAATTACATCTTCCTGGAAAGATATGGATGAACTTATCGGAGCTGACATAATAAGAAAGGTATTGCTCCAGCTACTCGCTTTCAGTCTTTCTTGACTAATTTTAACCTTGTTAATATAGTTAAAGATGGTCTACAAGTATAACCTCTTGTTTATCACCTTTCTTTGTGGATATTTTCCCCTTTTACTGATCATTTTGTTGCATATTTATTTATTTGTTTGGTGTGAATACTATTCAGGATCTGGAGTAAATTTGATACTGTTTCAATAGTTTCTTGTATCTATTGATTTAATTATTTTTTATCATTATTTCTTTTTATATCCAGAAATCATAGAAGCTCTTCACATGATCATTATTGAGAAATCTCAAATATAAAATGAAAAAATTAGCTGGCATCAACTAGGCAAATAAGCTCTTACATATAATAGCTCCTTGCCAATCACGGGCTTTTCTCGTGTATAGTATGGTGTACATATTCTTTTTTTATAAGCACCTTTAGGGAATTGAAGTAGATCTTATGTGCCTTAGATGACATTAAAAGCTGTCATTAAAGCCTAGTATGGTGTACAAATTCATCTCTAAAGCACCTTCTGGGATTTTGAAGGAGATTTTTTTTTTCTATTTTTTTATTTTTTATTTTTAATTTTGGGTTGGGTGTTTTGGATGACTTAAAGGAAGCTTCCTTAATTAAGCCTTAACAGGCTTTTGCATGATGTGATTTAGTTCATGAATTTGTGAAGAATTACGAGTTGATGCATGTCTTTGGGTGTAATGATAAAGCTTGATTTGCATAAATTTATTTATAAGCTCTCCATGCATCTTGTCATCTCATGTAGGCACATGCTTCTTTTCAATAATTTCTTATGAATATATCCTTCAATTATGTGGGGAATTTCATGGGAAGCACAAGCTAAGGCAAGAGGATGCTTTTGCTCCTTGCCTATTTTTTGCTGTGTATGCATGTCTTCAGTAGTGCAGTCTGTACTGATGTAATGGATTGACTTAGTATTTTCTGATTTAAAGATTCATTAAAAGATAAAAGCGTGATACTTAGATTAATAATGGCTGAAATTGGATACAAAAGGATAGATTAATAGCTTAAGGCTATCACTCTCTTGATAACTTTAGGTTATCACTCTCCTAGTAACTTGAGGTTACTACTCTCAACATTTTTTCCTCACAAATTCCATGCCATCCTACTGCATATACTACCCCTATTTATACTAAGGTCAAGTGACTACTAACCTAAAAGTACTAAGTTTCCCAAATTGCCCTCCCTAATGTTAATCCATTACAACCGACTTTGAATATAATTCCTAGTCGTAAGAGATTAATCTGATACATCAAGTTTTTTTTGCTGATGATCTCCTTCCTCTAAATGGGTGTATGTGGTGTGTGGGAATGCATTTGCAGGGATTTAGAGGATGTTGTAGGGAGTAGTGATAATAATGTATAAGGCAAATTCTTCATGCTATTGCTATTACTCGAGAAGACATTCCTTATATGGATTTTGGTTTTCTTCTACACTTTATCTTTTTAAAAGGGGATTCGTAACTGATGGCATTCCTTTTATTAGATTTATAGACCAGGTGACTACAAGGTTGGGCTTCTTTCATATGTTGGCAGAAAACTTCTAACTTGCAGTTATCTTTTAGGTGCAGAAATTGGGAGCTTTATTTTTTGTTTGCATTTAATTGTTTTAAATGAGACAACTACTTTGTGTGGAATTTTTTGTGGTTTGTTATACATGAACCACCCATAGTGTCTCTTGTTGGTTGGAATGAACTATGTTGTCGATCAGGCAAGAGGTTGGGACTTGAGGTATTGGCTTTGAACAAATCTGAGTTGAAGCAAGCGTTATGGATTTTGGATGCAATAGAATAGGACATTGAGTTGAGAGCTTAGAGAGTTATATTCTCCAGCAGGGCTCGCTATAGGACAAATGGGTTGTCTAGTGTAGAAATTAAGTAGCTTAGATTGGGAAGAGAAATGCTGAACAGTCTGTAAATAATGGTCAGGCTATGATCAGATCTCTAGACTTAAGGTGGTAGATTCAACATACCTATTGCTTACCTTTTCAAATTAGAAACTAGTTTGGGCTAGAGATTACTTATCAGGCTGTGAAGCTGCATCTTCACTGGCTACCTGCAGTATACAGAGTTTGGCAGGAAAGTTCCCTATGAATTTGTGCCTGTCAACATGTGACATTGACAGTGCTTTGCAAATGATGAATGATCTTTCTTGTGTTCAGTTTTATTATGTGCGATGAAATGTTGAATACTTTAATGTTGAAAAATATGCCAGGGGAAAGTTATCGATAAGGGTTTGTGGTGTAGAGTAAAAGGAGAAAGTTATAGACAAGGGCATGGGTTTTAATTGGGAAGTTATTGTGTTTCTACTCTCATTGCTGTTTATCGGCCCCTCAAATAAGAAAGTCTTCAGATAACTTCCCTTTCTGAGAGCTTGGTAACCCTAGAACATTGCCTCAGACTATGAAAATTGCTTTGTTTAAAATCCCAGTATTAGTATACTTTTTGTTGTTGGCTGCAGTTCATGTTGCCCGTGTGTGTTAATGTAGTTCTCCATTCAACAACTTTAAGAGCTATATTATTATGTCTTACTACCCTTGGACTCAAGTGATTTTCAGCTTTTTACATAAACTTTCAACTAAGGTAAATTTCAGTGTTCCTCTCTTATTTTAGTTTAACGCATGTATTGTACCGGTGCTGTATTTTGTAGATATGCCAGTCAGCCTGTGTCTTTTGATTTAACCTTGATTATAATTTCGTGGAAACATGAAGAAACTCGGGTCAAATATTGTTCTGGTTTTGCTCATTAGTCTTCTTGAGAATTCTACTGACTGTAATATTTGGTATTGCTATCATTAGAATTTCATACGACTGTCTTTTGTTAGTAGTTTTGATGTGAGACAGTCCAAAAGCCATTCATTGCTAAAGGTGGTTAATTACGAATTTCAGGCACTCCTTGCACCTGCCAAATCTATATCGGAGAATGCTGGGGTTGATGGGGAAGTAGTAGTAGATAAGATACGTACTTCTGATTGGCGATTTGGATACAACGCAATGGCTGGACAATTCGAAGATCTCATTGATGCTGGTATAATTGACCCTTGCCGTGTCACGAAATGTGGCTTGCAATATGCTGTCTCTATTGCAGGGCTTGTCCTAACAACTCAAGCTATATTAGTTGATAAAGTTAAGGAACCCAAACCTCTTGTTCCTCATATTCCAGGAATATCTCCTTGAAGTATGAAAGGGTCAAAAGAATTTTGTAGGTGGCTAATATTTTTGTTTTGTATTTCCATGCTAGAAAATTCCTGATTAGTTTTTTTACAAACAGAGATGTAGGTTGAATAGGTTGAATTTTTTTGCTTTTGATCTATTCATCCAATTTTTAATAGGTTGGCATGTGTTTACTGACTTGGTCATTTAGTGAATTTTCTACTGTAAATTGTAGACTATCGCAGTAATGATATATTGCTTAGAATGTTTGGCTTTATTGTGAACTTTCATGCTTTATACATATTACAGATTATATTCTTGCGAATTTTTATCTGTTCAAGGACTGAAAGCATTACAGATTGCTATGGCAGAAATTATCTAAAATGCCAATAAGTGTAAGATGCACATGTTGAAGACTAACTATTTATGTTCGAGAAAGTCGAAATTTTGTAACATGATGACTTAGAAACATTTTTTCTTCGGTTTTTTTTTTTCTCCCCATCTACAAGACGCGAAAGGCAGTGATATGGATGAGAATTTTGATGACAGATCTTGTGCACTACCTCCCAAGATTTAACATCCCTAAGAATCACTATGATTTCTTCAAAATCTAGTTCCTCCTTTTGTACAGTTATCGTTATCTTCCCAAGGAACTAGTCACAAAGAAATCAATATAAGATGCCTGATGACACACTAATTGGAGAGCTAATCACGGTGCTACGATTGTAAATGCTATTGCAATAACCGCAGTTGAATTTAAAGGTCGATTTGCAGGAGTAGTCTTAGCAACTTGGCGATCTGGCATTAACGCTGCAGCAAGAGTGACGTTGGGATCCCTACCCAACTGGCTGCTTGTTGTCTTTGGCTGCTGCCTATCGGTGTCCATTAGTTCGAGGAATGCTCTTAATGCCTCCCTCATCCATTCATAGCGGCAGAGTCGAAATGCCTCTCTTATGTTCAACTGTAAATATCAATAGGAAGACGATGAGCACTAGAACAGAAATTGTCTTGCGTAATTGTAGAAATGACTGTAAGGTGAAGTTGAAAAAACACATCAGATTCTTACCCATTGTCGACCATGGTTTTCTTGTTCAGGCCAAGTCTCGAATTCCTCAGTAACCTCCAAAGCGAACATATAACCCCTGCACCCTCCTTCAATGCTGCTTATGGCTTGCCTGCTTTTGCTACGAAACTCCCAAACACCCAATTGCGTCGTCTGCAACAAGTTACAGAAGATATTGTAAGTTGAGTAGTTAAGCACAAATAATGAAAGTAATTTTCTTACAAAACAGACATTTTCAAATAATTCAGGGGGTGCCAAGCTCGTGAATTTCCGAGGAAGGCGAATTAAGCAGAGCCTTACATTTAGGTTTCCTTTAACTCCGGCTTCTTCAAAGGCTTCGCGGCATGCAGCTTCATGCACAGTCTCATCATTCTCCCATCCTCCCTACACCACATAACAACAAATAATAAGACATAAGCTCACTTAAGTACATTACTTGAGAGTTCAATCCCCTTTTTTTTTTCCCCTCCATTTTATGGGATTTTATCTTACTCAAAGGGATATGAGAGGAGGCATACCTTTGGAAATACAAGATCGTGGCGATTTGGTGATGATACCATTAGAACTTCTAAAGAATCTTCTTTGTTACATTCACAATCTTCACATCCGTCTCTTAATCTATAAGGAATACATCTGTTTACACCGATAAAAGAAACCAATGTTATTCAAAGCCGTTAAATCTTAACTGAGAGTAAGTTTATTGTAAATAAATTTATAACATTTCTCGATTGTCAAAAATCAATTTTTTAACATTCGAATATACAATATTACTATAGTTACATTATTATGACTTTGTGAGGAGAAATTCGAGCTCCATAAGTGCATATTAATTAATAGACGGGGTTATGCTTAACAAATAATATAGGTTAAAATATCATGCAGATGCTATAACAAAAACAGAGGAAGTATGATAGATAAGCTCTTCAATTTGATACTTCCAACCTAAATAAATTAATGAAAGATTCGTATCATCTTAATGGTCTCTCTACTGGTAATTTCCTAACTAATTTCTTGACATACAAAATCAGAAAAGAATAAAATAATAGGAAAAGAAAACCTGCCCGATTAAGACATCCTATTAAAAAAAAATATTCGAATGGAAATTATTGGATCCTAGGCCACGTTAAGGCACATGCAAAAGGGTGTGAAATTCCTACTGAAATTAGTACTACCAAATACCAAATTGCTAAAGTAAACGGCCCCATTGCATAAGTTTTTTTATTTTCCCACGCACAAATTTAATGATTTCCGACATGAATCTTTGATTCATCAATCTCTTGTTGTCAACTCTTCAAACCTCTCAACTAAATGTTTGGTGACTATTATTGAGGTTTTAATTTTCCCTACCATTAATAATTTGGAAAACATAACTACTGTTTTTTTTAATAGTGTAAATTATATGTTGAAATTAATTTTTTTAATGAGAAATTCATGTAATATACGGTCTGTTACTTTATTATTGAATAGATTATGTTAGAGAATCAGTTCAATCAAGAGGTTAAGCTGATGATTGAAGTATTGGATCAATTTATATATTTTATTAGATTCAAATATGATTAAGTGAATTTGTTTTTTCATAGTAAGTAGATTCATTTGCCACTGCTAATAAGTTTTAGCTCCATTAATACTTTAGTTGAAGCTACTATTTCCTTGTTAGAATGTTGTTATCTTCACCTGAACTTAAGTGAAATAAAGTTCTTAAATCTTATTAACCTTGACTTTTACCTTATGATTACACAATATTTGGACTTTAATCACGTTTAATAATCTTGAAATTTATTTTTATAAGCTGAAGAGTTTACACCCATAAGTGTATTGCAATATATGTACACACCTAAAATGAACATGAAGACAACTAACAAACTGACTAAACGAAAAAGCCAAGTGACTCAATCAACAACAGAAAGCTACATATTACCAATGAAGACCATGTCAAAAATTAAACACACACACAATATCTAATGCTAGTGGAAATGAGTAGACCACGAAAGGAGCGTATGGTTTGGGATGAATCCTCATCAAATTGGAGTTATTAAAGGGGACCACAATAGCACCAATGTACATATTGTGTCACAGAAAACTCCCAACAAAAAAAATACAATAATGAAAGGTTTATTATGGAAAAGACAACACCATAGGATAAGGACAAATTGTCAATGTGTGTTTTTTGCCTTGTTTCTATATTTTCATTTTTTAATAGAATTGTAATTTAATTTAGTGTAAGTTTTTCTTTTTTAATTTCTTTTGTCTCATCATAAACTTTTTCGTCACATATTTTAATCTTCAATCGATTGCTCTGTTTTAATTCTTAACTAAAGTAGACGACAAAGAAGATTAGTCATCGTTTTTTTAATTATTTAAAATAATTAATCTTATCTTTTACAAGTATAATTAAAAGTAAGAGACTAGTCATTTTATATAAACTACTCCGTATTGTCCATGCAGATAACGAAGTAAAGGAAAACTGATGTGGATTACAATATGAAAAATTAGTATGAACGTTATTTTTTCTATGAACTCTATGAGTATATCGATTGATTTGGACTTCTATTTACTTTCTACTCCACTTTATAAATTGTCGAACGGAAAAAATTATATTCCTTCTGTCTCATAATATAATTATAGGAATTTATGAGATATTTTTCAATTAAATATGAGAAAAGAACATAAGAAAAAATGTTGTAAACCAAACGAAAAAGAAAAATATATTCTGATGATGATCAACAATTTTAGGTAGAAATATAAAAGAATATGAATAAATGGCTTGGCCGACCAATTTAAAAAAACAATATTGCATATTTGCATGTATACATTTTTTTTTTCTATCTATTTTCATCTCATAGTTGTTTTTATTTTTCTTTTCCATTAAAGTTAAAACTCAAGGTTTTCTATTCACAATATACATGTCACTTATTTTCTCTAAAGTATTCTAACACTATTTTGAATGCTTGTTATTGTCATTAATCATTGGATGTATATACAGTAAAATTATCTCAAATTAAATACTACTTTTCTTTAGAGTGTTAATCCCGTCCATTTAGATTGTGACATTTGAATGATATGATTGTATATGTCTACTGTCTTGCACATAACTTTCTGTAAGTAATAGAGAATATATGGACTACTAGCTATTTTGGGGGTGAAGAATTACCAGTATTTCTTATTCAATTATTTCCCTTATAATTTAATATTCATATATCAAATTTTTGGGATGAGTAATCATCATTGTTTCTTCTCAATTCAAATTGTCATTGTAGCGTGTAGAGATTATACTGAATCTTTTCTGTGTCGTTCCAATTTAAAAAAGCGTGGCGAATAATTACCCTCTTACAATCATTAAAGGTTTTATAATTATTTTAATCATAACAAGTCAACTCTCTCAATTTGGCCCAAAGCAAAAAGAAGGGACGAGGAAGGAGCATCGTTCTTCACCAACGTCTAATTCAACAATAACGTACCAAAACTACGCGGTAAACAAAAAACAAACACGGAAATAAACAGTTAAATCAAATAGAATTTAGATTTAGCTCTAATCCAACATAAATTAGATCGCATAATTACTAAACCTATATTCCGTCTTTAAAAATATGACAATCACCGAGAACATTTTATTTTATGGTTACGGCTTGAAAATAACTTTTTATCGAGAATAAAAAAAAAAAAAGATATTTGCAATTAAGAATACGGTGAAATAAAGAAACAAATTATTGATTCGATGCGAAAACGATGACATACCCGGAAACAAGACGACGATTGTCCTCGTAAAGTTGTCTATGGCGGCCTTGTCGTGCAACTAGAGTTGCCATTGAAGAGGTAATGAAAAAGAATGAGTTGTTAATTAAAACGATAAGATGTAATCTCTAAGGATTAGAGAGAGAGAGAGATAATATCAACAGCCTCGAAAATGGCGAAAAATAGAAGCAAGAGAGAATTATCAGCAAGGAATAAAACTCTCTAAAATTAGTTGTTTGTAAAATGAGGTTGATAAGTAAACTTAGCTAGCTTGATTTCTAAAGGAGGGAGAGAGATAATACAATACGAAGTAGTATTATGTACATCCCACTAAGATAATAGAAACAAGTTTAGTTTTGGACCGTTTGTATAAAAAGATGGATAAAACCTTGGTATATATATAGGTGTGCTCCAAAAAACGAGTATTAGTAGACTAATAATAAATTGGGCAACTTCAAGGAAACCAAAAGTTATAAATTGTTTGAGCAAACTTGTTTTTAATCAAAAGACGACTGATGATGAGAAATACACGGCTTCGACGTTTATATATATATTAAGGAAATGGTATGGTGGGGTGAAGTTTATGAATATTTTAATAATAGGGGGGTGCAGAGTGCTCCTTAGAGTATCATGCTCTAATTTAAACTTTAAAGCCATACAATACAAAGTACTCCGTATTAAAGTAAATTTGATAGTTACTGAGTATTTAGTTAACTTTACTTTACTTTATTTTTTTTATTTTTATTTTTATTTTTATTTTTATTTTTATTTTTTAAATTTATGGAGTAGTAGTTTTGCTTCCTATAAAGACTTTATGGGGGTCAATTTTATCTTAGAAAAGCGATCGATAAAACACAAGGTTATTACATAAGGGCCCTATCCGGCGAAAATATCTCATAGTTTGTCCTGTCCGAGTTAGTGAGATAGACACTTTGAAAATGGGGGAGAAGGATAAGGGGATCCCTGCCCCAAAGTGTTTCTAGTGGGATTTTATCACAACCTCTTGATTATGAGATGCAAATTTTCCAACTATACCAAGCTTTGCTTGGTTTGTTTGTTTATTTTAATTGTTAATATATTTTTTGCATTAGTCTTCACATAATTCACTTTGTCCATGTTACTGATTTAGGGCCTGTTTTAATTGACTGAACTGAACTGAAATGGACTGAACATATTAAAGCTGAACTAAACTTATTAGAGCTGAACTGAATTGAGTATAATATTTTATAAGAAAAGGGAATTAAGAGTTTAACTGAACTTATTAGAGCTGAACTGAATTGAAAGTAATCGTATAAGAACATGCCCTTATACATAAGAAAAATAATATTCACGTAGACAAATGTTAAAGTTAACTCAATACTTCCTCCGTGTTTAAATAAATGTTACACTTTTTTAGGCAAATCAATTGACTTCTATAAAATAAGAGGTAGGTAGGGTAGTTGAAATATAGTGGGTTAATAATTTATTGAAAAGTAATGAATGTGAGATAAATGAATAATAATAATAATAATAATAATAATAATAATCTCTATCCGTCCTTTTATTTTATGCCTATTTCTCATAAAAGAAATACAGACATATAATAAAAGGACGGCGGAATTAGTGAGTTTGGATAAGGACTATGAGAGAAGAAAGATATAATATTAAAATATACTTCCTCCGTCCCATAATATAATTCTTGTTTTCCTATTTTGGAGAACCAAAATATTGGTCCTAATTCTATTTCTGGATAGTATGTAAAAACCATTATACCATCACTTTTTTAACATTATTCATTGTTCTTCCTAATTACCTTGAATTTTGCACATGCCTTATACTTCATCCGTTCTATTAATATTGCAACAAGGATGAAATTACACATCCCAAAGCATATTTTATATGCTAAATATGTATAATTGTGTAAGAGTAAAAATTATAAAAAGTTAATATTGTGAAAGTATTTTATGAGACGAATCCAACAAGATCCCACATGACTATATTTTGCTTAACGTATAAATTAAATCATATTATATGGTCAAACAAGAGTGATGAATAGTGCAAAAAGTCCATTGTTGCAATATCAATAGAACGGAGGAAGTACTTTTTTCCACTGTTTCTCTCTAACTTTTGTCTATGATTGTACTTTTTACTTTTATTAATGTACTTTATTTACGTTCTCATCATATTTTTTAAATACCGTGAAAAAACACAAACAAGAAATATATTAAGGGACGGAGGGTGTAGGTTTTTTTTTTTAAATTTTTTTTTTTTGGTAAAAAATTAAAGTGTGACTTATTAAAACATGACCACATTTGATAAGTGTAACACTTATTAAAATATGGAGGAAGTATTTACCTTTAAAACATCAATTTTAATAATGTAAAGTCAAAATTTTGCATTGAATGCGACATTTATATTAAAACAAATGAAGTAATATAGACGTAAAGATCCATCCTCAAATTGGAGTATGCAAATTACATGCCAACTAGCAATGGAGAAATTCAAATTGTTGATTTCTCTTCGCCTTAGTAAATATATTTGCCAACTGTAAAAAGCAGATAAAATAATCCTAATGTCCTTTAAAGATATATAGAAGACGAATCATATGCTGAATAAGTGAACATGCATGCATGGATGTCAATGGAAAAATCATTATCTTTCCCCATTTTTCTTGCGGACTAATTTGTAGTGTGGTTATGTATGAAACATTTCTTAATACATATGTTTGATATATTGATGGGTCAATTGAGAATATTGGTAAATAAAAAGACCCTACCTATAATTTGATAAAAAAATTTAATTTCGATGACAATATAGTGGACTTAAAATCACTGCACCATCTTTGTTCTTATGTTTTGTTATTGCACACAAATAGATTTAGGAAAAATACAGTTTAATAATCCCAACTATTGGCGATTTACTTATAATAATCCCAACTAACGTTTATTTTCTAATAATCCTAACTATTGACCCAATTTTCCTCTAGCAGTCCTAGTTGACTGAAAACCAGTTTGCCAAGTTAACCTTCTCCCAGATTTTTTTTTCCCCCTTTTTTTCCCTTAAGGATTATTGACTTGGACAAAAACTTTAGTTGACCTTCCTCATTTTTCATTTCCCACCCAAATTTGAAGCCACGTCATCACCCTCAACCACCTTCTACAAAAATTAAATCCCGCCATTAACACTTCCTCCTTCGAATTAACTTCTTCAACCAGAATTCAGTCTCCAAAATTGGCAAAAATAGAGCGAAATTGCGTTTCCATTTATAGGGATAAAGGTGCGACGCCATTGAAGAAGTGAAGCTGCTCTCAAGTAAACCTTAGTTTTGTTAAATTTCGCAAAGATTGTCGATTTATGTTGCAAATTGATGCGATGAATTGTGACTGTTGAGTATAATTATGTGTGCATGTGGTTAGTTGTTCTGGGTTGTGATAATTTGTAAATTATAATCAATTTTTATTGTTGTTTTTTGTGGTTTAATGTATTCATTATGTTAGGGTTTATTGTTGATTATTGCTGGGTGTGTTAGTAATTATGAATTATTGTTGTAATTGTTAGGTTGAAATGTGTGATTTAATATATCACTATGAAGTTTTGGCATAGTGGGCTCTTCAAGCATGTTAATAATGGTGAATTGGCTAGTTATTTTGGATTTTGGGTACTTTTGTATGGCATATCATGACTCTTCGAATTTAGTAATTTATGAAGTATTACACAATTATGCTAATGTTTTGAAACCAAGCTTTATTTCATTGCATAAACCAAACTTTATTTCATTGCATTAAAAGGCAAAGGTTACAAACAACATTGTTAACTGCCTACAACATCAGAGATTAATTCAAAGTCAAAATACTAAGCTACTTAGATTATTGCCACTAAACAATAATTGACACTACAATACACTACTTGCACATCAACACCACAATGCCAAAGAACAACCATGAACAAAACAGAGCCATTGTTAAATTGTATTCATTCCTTGAAGACCTCATCAGCTCAATCCGTAGTTGGCTAACTTCAGCTTTCATTTCTTGTACTTCTTCATAATTTCCCTTTTTTCCTTGCAACCTCCGCACTTTGTCTTCTAACATACTCTTTTGCATCTCCAATTCAACTATAGTTGTTTCCCTTTCAAAGATCTGAAATCGCAAGTCATCTCTATTGGTACAATCAACCCACTTCATGAAATTACACTCTGTATCCTGTATAATTTCACAAAAACCCTAATTTCAATCAGATTTCAATTTCAACCTTCAACATTACAACAATTAATTTACCAACAACAAAAACTAAAATTCAATAAACAAACAATCAATTAACTTACAGACCATTTAGGGCAACCAAAGAATTTGCAACCAATATTAGGGCCCTTCTTCACCGTACACACAACCGCATCTAGCCCACGATTGCATCTCGTGGTAGCATACAATCCTCCCTTAAAGCTTGAAGATGATGCTGGGGACCCATCAAATTGATTCCTTCTAGTAGCCATGGTTAATTCAAAAGAAGACGAAAGAAAAAAAATAGGAAATAACAGGGGAGAGGAGGATAGATGATAGAAAAGAGAAGAAACGGGCAAAAAAAATTAGGAAAATGTAGACACCCATTTGTGTCTCCTCAAAACCAAACCCAGTGATGAGTACCTTTCACGTAGAATCATAATCTAATGAAGTGAAAGTGTGGAAAGTTTAGTGTTGCGGATAGTTTTAATTTTTTTTCTTTTCTCTCTATTTTTGAAAACCTATTTTAAGAAAACAGATAATCAAGTTCGGTTGGTCCACTATATGGGTCCAACAGTAGTGTAGTTGGATAGGGCTTGAAAAGACCTTTCCAACGATATATTATAAGCCCAATTCCGATGAATATTGAGGAAGTTATGGCCAAATTACTGAACTGGGCCCGGTTTGAGTTTTATGTGCGGCCCAATGATATAGAGGAGGGCCTAATATAGATTTATCATTCCTAATGCAATTAGAAATGATTTTAGTCTTCTAGATTCTTCTAGAAGGTTCTTTTCATTCCTAATTCAATTAGCATTGATAAATTGACTTTTGTTGACTTTTCAGAGTTTTAATTAAAACCAAAGAGCATTTTTGAGGAAAAATACGATTTTATCCTCCTGTACGACAATTTCTATCTGATTTTAAGAAAACGCGTGAATTTCTGAGTCAGCGCCAAACGCCAGCTGTAGCGCCTGACACTACGATTAGCGCCTGGCGCTAGCCTTGGCGTCTGGCGCCAAGGTCAGCGTTTGGCGCCAGCCTAGTTTTTTGCGTCATAACTCTGTTTTTTGATATTCTATCTTTTTGGTTTATTTTTTTATAAATAACGTCGTAAAAACTCCGTTTTCATTCACCCACAATCATCTACAATCTACCAATTCTCTCTCTCTCTCTCTTTTCTAAACAAGCCTTCTCAAATATAAAAATTCCGCATTCATTAGATTTAGATACACCTAGCCATATTCGAAGTTGTCTTTGCCCTAGACGTGAAAGGTTTAATTTCTGAGGGCTTGGTCCCAAATCTCTCTTTCAATTATTTAATTTAATTGTTTTGTTTATTATTTTCCTTGAAGTTACTAACGTGTGTATTTTGTTATTAGAAAGAGGTACGAGGCATCAAAGTAAGTGCTTTAATTGCTTTATTAATATTATGATGTAGGAATCGTGTTTAGATTGTTATTTTGATTCATAGTATCATGTCTAGGGTAAATTTAATATCAAATATGATTGTTATGTTGCCTTTTGTATTCTTCCTAATATTTATGATTGTTAATATCATGTTAGGGTTAAAGTTTTGATTCTTATTGTTTAGTGACATGCTAGAGTTTGTTATTAATCTTGTTAGTATCATGCCTAGGATCTTGCTAGTATTATGCTTTAACGTTGATATGATTATCTTAATTATGATTTATGATTATGATTTTATGATTATAATTATTGTTATAATTATTATGATTTATTATGTTGCTTGATATTTATTTTTATTGCTTGATCACGCCTTTTATGCATGTTTAAAGGGAATTGGTACTTGTAATTACGCTTAATAAGATAATTAACAATCTTGTTAGGGTTAATATGATTATAATTCAAGTGATCGCCAATAATAGTTTTATTTGTGCATTAATATTCAACCAACATAGATAAACAGGTTTAGGGTAAACCTATTGATTGCATGTTAGTCAGAAAGCGCACATGAATACGATCAGAATAAAGTAGAGGCCTATTATTAGGGCAGGTTCAATCTCTTTTAGGTTGGATTTGTACCTTCATCCCCGAACCCTGTTTGGTTCAAGACCTTATGGAGTTAACGATCTCTTGGATCGTTAAGGGTTGTAACCTTCACCTCGTGAACGGTTTACAAGTTCCTAAAAAACTTGTTGGCGACTCTTTTGCTATATCTTCTTTCCCTTTGGACGCCACCGTACTTTAGTGTATGATCACAGTGAGGTTCAAGCTAGGGGTTAACGCTTGAAATATTCCCTACAGAAAGGCTGACTCAGCTTACTAACAAGAAAAAAACAAAGAATTCAAATTTAAAAATAAAATACAAGAAAACAAATGCCACGTAGGCTTTTAACCTGCACTAGTAGGCAAGTGACCTGGGACTGCCGGAGGAAAATTGGGTCAATAGTTAGGATTATTAGAAAATAGACGTTAGTTGGGATTATTGTAGGTAAATCGCCAATAGTTGGGATTATAAAACTGTATTTTTCCTTAGATTTATAAGCTAAAATTTTTTCAAAGTGGAGAGACAGATGTTCCCTCTTGTACCCTGCTAGCTACCTAGCTTCGCCACAATCCATATTTTATTACTTGTTCTAATTTAAAGTGGGGAGTAAAATATGGAAGGGTTATTGGACGAATAATGTATGATAGGGATTTGAGAAGAGAGATAAAATAAAAATATTGAAGTATGATAATTGCGAGGTCTAGTAGGAGAAATGAAATTATCAAAAATAGTAAAAGGTTTCTAAAAAAACGAAGTAAATTAAATAATAAAATACGGCCATAAAAGGAAAGTAGAACAAATAAAAAAAATATGGTCGTAAAAGAAAAGTGGAACAAATAATTAAATACGACTACAAAAAGAAAGTGGAGCAAGTAATTAATAAAATACGAAGGGAGTATTAGATAAGAAATATAAACCTAAGTTGCACGAGAACGGGTACTGACATTGATACGGGTAGAAACGAATATGGGAAAACGTCAATCTCAAAATAGGAGACACGGGTACAAGATGTTAAAATTCATATGCATGACCTATACCTATAATAATTAATGCAAATATTACAAAATTATAAATTTAGGGCTTGTTCACATTTAATGAATTGATCTGAACGGAACTGAACTGATTGGAGATGAGCTGAACTAAAATGAACTGAGCTGAACTGAATATTTTATGAGAGAGGAAAATTAGGAGCTGAATTGAACTGAACTAAACTGATTGGAGCTGAACTGAAATGAAGTTAAGTAAATGTGAACAGACCCTTAATCAACATAAAGTACTTGCTTAATTGCTTACGTTTCCTCTCTATTTCTATGTATGGCATGTTGTTATAATAACATAGTAAGTGTATTATGATATTATTAATATGTATATATTTACGATAATATTTGTCGCAGGGAAGGATAATTTTATATATATTCTGTTATACCTCCTATCCTTATCATAATAGGATCACGACCCTTGTAAACCTCTATATATATTAATCAATGGTACACACTCCAATTTGAGGAGTTTTCCCGGAATCTAACATGGTATCACAACTTAGGTTTTAATTTTACTTTTTCTTGGGATCTGCGCTTACTCCTTCCGCATTCACGTACATATCTCTTTCTTTCCTTTCTTAGCAGTAACGTCCCAACACCATGGCTAAAGACAATGATCAGACTCACGACTCTAGTCCACCGTCACCACCTGAGTTCCACCCGGCGCTTTCTGTGAGCAACATCAAGAATTGCATACCATTAATTCTTGATCGACATTCTGCAAAATACTCTAATTGGGAGGAATTGTTCGAAGTTCATGCTCACGCCTATAATGTGCTAGACCATATTAACTCGAAAACACCGCGGCCAACCGGAGTTTCTGACCCTCTATGGCAGCGCCTTGACTCCATTGTCAAGCAGTGGATCTACAGCACAATCTCGTCCTATCTTCTCGATACGGTTCTTGCAAAGGGTGACACGGCTCAACAAGTCTGGGACAAAATCAAGGCGATATTTCAGGACAATAAAGCGAATTGGGCTCTTTATCTTGAAAAGCAATTCACAAATGAATTGCCATCTCTAAGATCAACTTGCTAGTGTTGATCATCCGGTTTCCGAACAGGTGTTGGTGATGCGCCTTATTGCCGGACTCCGAAACACAGATTATGACACCGTTGCTGCAATGCTTGCCCAAACCGAACCTCTACCGAGGTTTGTGACAGCAAGATCTCGTCTTCTTTTGGAGGAGACGAGGTGTTCCAGTGATTCGTCGGCTCCAGCACAATCTTTCGTTGCCTAACAATCTGAATTGGCGCCTATTAATGCCCCACAAAACTCACCTACTTGCGGCGGTAGCCAGGGCGGCGGAGGCTCAGGTGGTCGCGGCTCCGGTCGCGGGTCAGGGAGGGGCGGCAAAGGTTTCGGTCGTGGTAGTGGCAGAGGCAGGGGACAATCTTCATCAAAGAGAAACTCTCCTGCTCAACCAAATCAACAAGGTGAGAACAACAATCAAAGTGGGGCACCTCAATGGGCTGGCCCACCACAACAGACCACTATCCTTGGCCTCAACAATGGTTCTATCCACAAAGGTGGGCTGCCCCTCCTTTTCCTCACCCCCACTATAGGCAACAGGGTACTATCGGCCAGGCCCAGCCCTCACCTACCGCATCTCAAACACAACAAAAGGCGTACGTGGCTGCCCCTAAAGGAAATAGATGAATTCGAAATTCCATGAACTTCCTCCCCCATTTCTTGATCAGAAATGATAGAAGGATCTGGTGGATCAGTACCATCCACCATGCTGAGAAGAGAAATTAACAACCACTCCTTATTTTCCTAGAGAGAAAACTTTTAGAGAGAGAAACCTCTAGCAAATATCCACCATGCTGAGAAGAGAAATTAACAACCACTCCTTATTACTTTGTTATATATATATATATATATATATATATATATATATATATATATATATATATATATATATATATATATAAACAAAGTAATAAGTGTTTTATGATATAAAAATGAGCTATATATAACAATGATATATTATTGGCATGTTATATATATCATAACACACTTACTTTGGCATTGTTTTATCTATATATATGTAACTCTATATATTGTTATATCATAATACACTTACTTTGTGATACATTATTGTTATTATCACAAAACAACATTGTGCCATGTATCTATGTATAACAATGAGCTATATATGAAGAACCCCCTATTATTTATTTATTGCCTTATCTTACTTACTTTTTTAAAATTTTCTCATTAAAAAAAAGTTAAAAGGATAAAGTGGCAAGTTAAAAAGCTCAACGAAACATAGTAGGACACAATCTTAGATGTATACATCATTATGCTCCAATTTTATTTAGTACACTTATCTTTTTTTCCTTTTATTATATTTGATTTGTCTGATTTTATTTCCGAAAAAGGTTCATTCTGGCCCCGTTCTCTTCACCTTACTGAACTGAAATTATTTTGCTGAAATTAAATTATTTTTACTGAACTGAAATTAATTTTACTGAACTGGAATTATTTTTGCTGAACTGAAATTATTTTTGATAAACTGAAATTATTTTTACTGAATTTTTATTATATTTCTTCTTTGAAGTTACTGATTTTTACTGAACTGAAATTAAAATAATTTTACTAAACTGAAATTATTTTTACTGCACTGAAATCAATTTTTCTGAACTGGACTTATTTTGACTGAGCTGAAATTATTTTTACTAGATATTTTTTTTAAGGTGAAGTGAACAAGCGTCTTATTTATAAATAATTCAATCTTCCAAGATTTCACATTATATCTCATTTAAATCAAATAAAAGTTCTGATCAAAATAACTTTTTTTGACAATCAAAATAAAAATTGTTAATCACAATTTAAATATCCAACTAATTATATGCGGCATTGTGGCTCGATTAGGTGCACACTAAAATTGGACCAATAGATTTTTTATTTTTTTTAATTTTATTTTCCTGCGTCAGAAAAATAATTTGTGATACATGGCATGTTGCTTTGTAGATATTTGATAATACAAAATAAGACAAGCATTTAAATTTAATGTTCCTAGAAATGATGTCCGATCTCAACTGTCATCTTTGCATATTCGTTGACCAATTCAATAGAGGATTCATTTCTCCTGGGTCAAATCTCACCACACACCATGACTCCATGAGAAATCCCATGCATCTTTTGCCTCCCGCAAAGTGGATGTTTTCTTCATCTATAGATAAATTTAGTTAATCTATTATTTGACTAATTAACAAGTTGAATTATTTTTATGGGCCGGATCTGGATCTAATTTAGAAAAACGGATATGAATTTGGATCCATTAGAGCCTTGGCTAGATCCATCCGTTACCATCTATAGTCATGTTTCTTGCATGTATTTGTTACAATTAAGTGCATGATTTTATTGTGATTAAGATGAGTTCAGTTTTTAAGGCAAGCTAGATATTCTCATTTGTAAGGTGGGTTCATGAGAAGAGGAAGAATAAGAATAGACCAATATGTTCATAAGCATGCTCATAAAGATGGTGCTACCAGCAGTTAAAGAGAAATGCCCATTTGGTAGGGTGCTTCCCAGTTAAAGAATAGACCAACATGCTCATAAACAAGAGAATGCCACATGATGTAAAAAAAAAAAAATGCCAAACATACACTCCCTTCTAAGTAAAAATTATAACAATTATTAATACAATATTAATTTAGACGATTTCAACAAATATCCACAACACAATATTTATTCTTATATAAATCACAAATTAGTTTAAATGCATGATTTAGAGTTCATAACAGTTGAATGTATAGTTAATACTCTGATTAAAAGGTAATGTTAAAGTGACTATGATAACAGATGAAGTGCTTTACTAATTTTTCGATACATCTCTATTCTACATAGCAAAAACATAAAGCAACAATATAGCACACATAGATTTACTAAGGTTCAACTCAATTCAGAGTCTATGGCCTCCCTACCAAGTTTGTACAAATTATAAGTTAAATAATTTTATTTAAATATTAAGTTAAATTAAAGGTGTATACTATTTTCAATTTAGTTAAGAAACATTGTGGCAATCCAAGTTCATTACACAAGAGCAATATATATATTCTATGTTCAAATTTGTGTAGATAAATTCAAATAAATTAATTTAATCAAATTATTGTTAGAGAAATTCAAGTGAAGATGATGCACTATACTTGTATTATCTTTTCAATACACGAAGAAAAGAAAAAAAAAAAAAAAGGTAAAATCCTACATTCAAATAAAATCTTCTATAAATAATTAAACTATACGGAGTATATATCATCAAAGTTTTACCTTTCTCAATTAATAAAGAATATCATCAAAGCTTTGACCACAAAAAACATGCACGAAGAAAAAATTTGCGGGATAATAAAATGAAGTTAATCTTACCATTTTTTTTCTTCAACTAGTAATAACTAAACACCTTAAATGTGTTCAATTTAGACTTTTTAATGATAACCAACATAATCTTCATAAAATGATTTCTTCAAATTTAGTTTGTTGGAATAATAGTCTTCTTCATAACATGGACCATTATTGGCTTAGGGAAGCGGCTAAGTCAACGTTGGCTTAACAAAGTAAGGTGGTTGGACCATGGTTTTATTACATGATCTCAGTTATGTGATTTTGTCGTTCCAGTCACATTTAATTAACACCTAGTTTAATTAATAAAAGTCTTGTAATTATTATTTCAGGAAAATGAAGTCTTGCAAGTTTTATATTCTATTAGTTATAACTTGGAAAGATTCTATGAAAGACAGAATCATAACGAAATTATACCCTTTTTTCCACCGATTAATTATCAGTTAGGAGTAGATTCATGTAGGCTTGACAAATTCTCCTTCGTACGACTAAAAGTTTTTCTTATATGTTCTACGTTCTACTGTTCTAGAATTATTACTCAAAACATGTACAAAACTAATCAACCTTTGAACAAAAATTGGTGGTATCCATCCCAATTTTTTATTTTTTGTACGCATTTGGGAATAAGCTAAGGTGCACCCTCTCAAATATAATGATTAAGGATTATGTATTAATTAATTACTTAAGTTATTTGTTAGAGATGTAGCCAAAACATTATAACGGATGTGAGAAAAAACAAATTAATGAATGCAAAATAAATAAATAACACACATGTTTATGTGGTTCACCAACAGTATGTTGGCTACGTCCACAGGCAAGCGAGAGTACTAGTTTTATTGATCTTGGGGAATACAGATTACAGATTCATAACAGACTTGAGACCAATCACAGAAACAGATTGATTGTCTCTCAGATTTCTAATGTCATCTCTCTCAGATCTCACAGATGAGAAATACACAAAAAACTCTCAGATTTCTAAATAATCACTCAACTTATGATTGTCACGGCTAGGAAATAACCCTAAGGGGTATATATAGAACTCTCCAAAATAGAAACTGATTTGGGCAAAAGCCCAATTAATAACCACACGAACCAAAACCACACGGCCGTGTACCTTGACCCACATGGCCGTGTATATCGCGCAGTGAAATAGTGCGCCCATCTACACGATCGTGTGATTCGGTCGTGTACCCTGAATCACATGATCGTGTGACAAGTCTTGTAGTAAAGAAACTACACGACCATGTACCATGAACCACATGGACGTGTATATTGAAGAGTACATAATAACACTGAATACAAGATCGTGTACAATAGACTACATGATCATGTACCTACTCGGTCACCAATTCAAGGCATATTTCTCAACAATCTCCACCTTGACTTGAATCCCCTCACAATAAAACTGATGTACCAGCTGCATCAAACACGATGCCAAATGTACTAGAAAAACGGATGGATATAACAGAACACAGATAACTAGAAACAGACTCTCCTTGCTTAGATTTACCTCCGCTAGGCACCAGATTTGCTCCATCGAGCATTAGACCAGATTTGCTCCGTCAGGCACAGACTAGTCCCTAAGGGCTACTAACAACTTCGAATAGTTTGTAAGTCCAAGCAACCTTGTGACTTACTCTGCGGAACCAGATTCAAACAAACGACTTGCCAATAATGCTTCTTCCTAGTACTAG